AAAATTCTCAAAAAGTTTCCAAAAATTTGATATTTTATCTAAAGAAACTGTGCAATGTGCTAGTGTTTATACGATATTTTCCTCCAGTGTGACAGCATTAGACTCCAATATTGTGCAAGTATCTCTCATTCTATGGAAATGTAGTCACCTGAAAGTGATGATTTTGAACGAATAAAAAAGTACTATGAATTCAGAAAAGAATCCACAGTAAAAATTAGTTAAAACATAGTCATTTTGGTCTCCTTTCCGTACGTGAAGTGAAACTAGATCGATCTCAGCAATACCTGTCTGTACTATGTTTTTAAATTCTACCTCTCATGTCTCGATGACGTAGCAAAGATATCTGAAGATTATGAGAGTCCCGATTCTATCTCTTGCATCAAGATTTTAGATTTTATGGCTTCATCAATATTTGAAAAGTCTAATATCGAAGCATCCTTAAATTTTTACCAGCAGTTGCTAAGATTGCGGCGGCGCGGCATCTCTCTCTCTACGGTGAAAACTCAGCGACTGAAGAACGACGATTCTGAAATGTAAATTATCGCTAGTAAAATCAACCTCTCGGTTATTTCACAAATGGAAGAGGCTTTGCACAATACTTGCAACACCTGCTAACGGCCGGTTGTGATGTTTGTACACTTCATTAAACGACTGTTAAAGGTTGCTGTTGAAGATGAGTGCACAGATCTGATCTCTGGCATTTTCCGTTCGCGCTTGGGTGCAGACTGATTTACACTGACATTTACCTCACACCCTAGACTTGAGTCGATTGATGACAGCTCTTATCTCGATGTCTCTTACACACTCATAATCAGTCAAGTCGCTTCGCTGATTCTGCTGATTTTAGAGCCTAAGTACATTTTCACCAATGACCTGGTGTAAAGAAGGAGCTAAGGGGTGCCCTATTTTGCTCGAATTAAGAGCAAATAATTTTAGACGTGGTGAATTAAGATAAGTCGGATCACAGATCTCACAAACGGGAATAAAGATTACACAGTTTGAATGTTTTCCGTGATCTCCGATCAAACTCAATCCCGAATCCCTCTCCACCGTTCCGTCTCGCATTCCAGTGTTCCCTGACCTGGTGCACCCCTAATTCCCCGGCGTCCGTCCAGTTTATAATCTTTGAAATCTGCGAAAATGTAATCTTTGCCGGATTGATCCGGTTTGTGACACTGTTATGTCTTAATTTACGACCGAAGCCAATCAGTGAATCAGTGTCCTCTCCTCTCTTGTCCTTAAGTCTCAGTATAAAGACACCCTAGTATGTTTACGGCTAATCGTCGTATTTATAACATACGGACGTAAGTACGATTTTCGATGAACCCCGTCGTTTGAATCACTCAATACTTTCCCAGGCTTGTCTCAAAATGTAGTTACGCCCCTTTTTGCCGTGCCAAGGAGGAACGCCGTATGAACATCCAAGAGTTGCCAAATTTCCCTCGATAAAACATGTATTTTTTAAGACAATCGTGCACATTTTTCTTTGAAATTTTCAGATATTTTAGATTAAATTGCGTGTAAAATTGTCTAAAAATTTTGGAAAAAAATGTTTACAATTTTCTCAGTAAATTCAGTTGTTATCGAAGGAAACTTGGCAACGCCTGAAGGCTCATACGGCGTTCTTCCTCGGCACGGCAGTTTTGTCAACTATAGGCAAAGGTACTACCTAACTTTTTCAGTGTGACAGAGCCTCCGCGTTGCGTAACCTAGAGTACCTTTATAGACAGAGTATGGCCATTCGTATCTTTTTACTACAGGAAAACTGTTCCGCTTTTTGATTGGTCAACGAGTTTTTAGGCTTCATGATGCTTTTACGGTCGTAAATAAACAAACAAGATGGCGGTTCACCGTAACTTCGATAAGAAGCTTTTGACAAAAATTTCAATTATACGACAGTAACAATTTAAACAAGTATATCTACGAATAACACAGGAAAAACACACGAAAACACAGTTGAATTACTTTTCACCTTTATCACAGGAGGATGTAAGCCGTGCATAACCTCAATCTTGCTTGCTGATAAGGGCCATCTTGTTTGTTTATTTACGGCCGTAAGAACATCGTGTCAGCCTATTTTCACGCGACCAATGAAAAACCGGAACAGAAATGGTCATACTCTGTCTATAAAGGTACTCTAGCGTAACCCGGGCCGGATTTTCACGGGTGTCAATCAGGCGGGATGATCGGTGACGTCGTGACGTCATGGGATCAGTTCGCGAGGAGTTCAAGACCTCGGCCGGAGTCGGCACTTGACCATGGTTCTCCGAGGGATTTGAACTTTCCCGCCCGCCCCCCACCCCGCTCTGACCCTGTCGCCCGCCACCGCCGCGACACTCTGATTACAAGGTTCGTCCATTCATGTCCGAACCCCCCGTCCCCCCCGGCGCCCCGCCTCTCGGATGCCGCCCGGAGAGTGATACCTGCACCGAGAAGCAGGATCAGTATCAGTTTACCTGTTTACCGTCGCGTTATCGTCGCGTTATCCGAGGAGCCATTAACGCCGCCTTCCGCAGTCCGCCTTCGGGATTATCGTGTTTTCGCCGAAAGCTCCACGAGTGTAGTTCGTTTTGGTGATGATTTCAGTTTCGGCTCGCGGGAGGACCCCTGCCCCGAGTGCCCCACCCTCATCTCGTTTTTCGCGCGAAGCTCTTACGTAATATCCGCCAACTTCCGCTTTGGGATTCAGTATCCACTATATCTTATCCTGGAACTGCCGAGACCAATTTCAAGTCCTAATTTTGATCTGAGTAATCGCTGGAGCTAATCTAAACACTCCTCTCCTTTCGCTTGTTTCTTTTTGTAGAGACGACCGTTCGTGGTTCAGAGAGCTCTCAACTAGCAAATCTCGTCTCGGAGGAGGATTTAGTGCCCGCACACGCACAGTGTCATTTTTAAGCGGGAGGTTTAATATTGATCTTAAACGAGGGGAAATCGCGGAAACAATGCTAAAAACTAACATTAAAAACAAATGCAGGACGTTTTGACGACTTACGGTGTCTTAAACTGCTGAAAAAAAAGAGAGGAAATTTAAACTAAAATGAAAAATATTTTAAAAAACCTCGGCAATTATATGATGAAATGATTAAATCACAATCAAGTAGCCGCTTAAGTTTACCTAAGGCCCCCCCCTTCTTCCTTCTCTCCGCAGTTTTTTTTTTTTGTAAAGCCCTCAATGTAATAATCCCATTCTAGCTGAGGTGGTTAGTGTGTTCAGTGTGGTGTTCTACTCTTGAGAGGGACACACAATTTGAGTCTTGATTTCAGCCTGAGTAGTCATTGAAGTGTACTTGAGCCCCTCTTTCCCCTACCATTTCTTCCCTCTCTTTATCAGTCTTTCCATAGCCCTAAAAGTTAACATCTCGTCAGGGTCGAGGATTCTGTGCACGCAGTGTCATTTGCATTTCGCGACCGACCGATTTAAGTTTTTTGGCTAATGGGTAATGATTTATAGGTTTGTGACCCCCTTTCCCCCTCTTTGATCTGTTTGATCATACTTTCAACGTGTTATCAGTGAAGCTGTTATCACTAAGACTGCGCGAACCTCCAAGTTCCGGTCTAAGATTTAGTGCTCGTGGTGTTGTCAATTTGTAAGAGACGCACAAACCTTAGCCGCGATTTTGACTCGAGTGTCAACTCTACAAGGAGCATTTTTCACTCTCCATCTTTCCTTTATCATTCGTTCGACGCGTGGTGTAGTCATTATTATTGTGATTTGCGAGAATTCAAAATTTTCGGCTTCGAAGTGTTTATGGTGCGTGAAACCGATTTTCCCTGTCTCGAATCAGAGTTTACGTCTGAAGCTATCACCGTCGTCTTACCCTCTAAAGTTTTTATTATGAATATTTCACTTAACTTTTTCCATTTGTCCCTCGCGTAGTAAGGGGCGCGCCCCAGAATGTCGCGGGCTGTTTCCGTAGTTCCGAACTAAGATCTAGTCACCCAAGATTCAGTGCGACTCTCCTGTCCACGTATGGATGGATGGTACCAGTTTTATTCGACTTTTTTACCTTATTCTACTTCCGGAACTCCAAGTTTTTTGAGGAATACGCGATTAGCACAGCTTGGATCTATTTGGATTTCTTTCAGTTTTATTTTGGTGTGTTTCACTTTTTATTTTGTTTTTTTCCCCCCATTCTTTTGCAGTTTCTTTTTTATTATGATTTCTCATCTCATTTCACATATGGACGCATTTAAATCAGAAGGAACTATATCTTCTCCGACATGCGCCGTGAGATCTATAAGGACACATGCATGACAGAAACTATATCACGATTGATATAGTTCCTGTTGCTTTAATTGCGTCCATATGTAAATAAAATTGCATCCACTTTGTAATGTCAAATGGAATGCCATTCACATGACCCAGATTCACAAGAGAGTATTGTCATTTGCGTCCATAAATAACGTAAATAACGCTAAATTTTGGATTTGATGACCCTTCCTCTTAGCTCTGTAAGATTTTTGTAGGTCCTTACCTCTCAACATTCATTATCAAAATGGCGTAACGCCTCGACCCGCTCTCCTCTACTTGAGGCGATAAGAATATTTTAAACGTTTTTTTAAACGCTTTTTTACGTTTGTTTTAAGTTTTGATTTTCTTTTATCCTACGTTTTTGGGACTACTTTGGAAAAAAACACATTGGATCTAGAGTCCGGACTCTTAAAAACATCGTCAAGAAAAAGTACTCTTGATTCAATCAGAATTTAGCTTAAATCAAGAACCAAGCACGTTAATTTAAGCGGATTTCATTTTGATTCAAGCAAAAATCCAATTGAAACAAGAATATTTTTTCTTGTCGATGTGTTTAAAAGTCTGGACTCTAGATCCAATGTGTTTTTCTTCCAGTGTACGAGAGAATATTGACATGTTCACTTTTTACCATTTTCATTTTCACTTTTTACAATTTTTTCAGTTTTAATTTAGTTTTCTTCTATTTTCCGTTCCGTTAAAATTTTACTTTAGTTTCATTTCTTTTTGGTTTTCTCTTTTGTTTTAGGTATTCCCTCTCCGCACAGACCGGGCAGTGCTTAGCCGATCGGATCCCAGCCTTTGAGTGAAGCGTTGATAATTTGAAATCGAAAAAATTGAGTCAAAATTTACAGGAGGAAGGAAAGGTCGCCGAGCCTCGAGCGACTAGCAAAGCGTCCGGGCATTTTCATTGTGTAGTGTTCGTTCACCGTTCTTTTTACCGTTTCGTTTCCGTCCCCTCTCTCTCGATATCCCGCGCGTGGCCGGCGTTCAACTTTAAAATTAAAACCCCAAGATAAAAAATCATAATTCTATATCTATATCTATATAATAATCTTTGTGTAATCGCGTAGTTGTAAGTGTAGTTCTAGTGACCGTTCTATTTTCGTAATGAGAAATCCGGATTTCCTCCCGAGTCCGAATCAGATTGTCTCAGCGTGATTTTTGGATAAGCAAAATGGATACGGAGGTGTTCCTCCGCGCGACCAACAACAACCCGGACAAGGACCTGTCCAAGAAGAAATGGAGCACGGGCGCGCTCCCCCTGGCGGACATCATGGAGACCTCGGACTACGCTGGGAAGAAGGGCAAGGACAAGAAGAAGAACTCGCTGACCATCAGCCTGAGCAAAGAGGAGCTCGAGGACAAGAGGGGACGACGTAAGTCCTGGCACGTCGGCAAGCTCGAGCGCAAGAGGCGCAAGAGCTCCCTCGTCCCGGGGAGCGGGCCCAACAGCGGGCCGCCCTCCACTTCCGGCTCCCCGCCGCCCTCGTTCGATAGACATAAGAGACTCTCCTGGTACAACATCTTCGTCCCCGATAACTGGCTTAATCGGTAAGTTCCTCCTCCGGTTCAAAGGGGGTCTTTAGCCTATGGCCTGGTTACACGCTTAAATTTCCTTCAAATTCCGATCAAAATGATGACCAAGATGGCGGTCGAGAGTTATCTAGATTGATGAGTAAAATTAATTAAAACAGCGTGTTGATTGAAATAAGCATGAAATAAGCACGGTTGTGTGGAAATCAGATGAAGGATGAGCCCCACAGTTCCATCATCTACCATCAGATTTTTACAGGCCGCAGAAATTTGATGGTAGATGGTGCGCACCAGTCACCATTTGATCGGAAATTGATGGGAATTTGAGCGTGTAACCAGCACATTATGCGCAATGCATTCTTGGTGGAGGGTGTATAGATTCGATGGAGATGAATCGATTGGAAAATAAAAGAATGAACCGATCGACAAATTATTGAAAAACCGGTGTCGATTGGATCGATATGTATCGATTGAATCGTGAAAACGTGAACCGATTGAAAAAATTAGGTTTCGATCGATTCACGGGTTGGTCGGTCGATTGGACTTGTCGATCAATTCAAGGGTTTGTCGATCAATTCAAGGGTTTGTCGACAGATCCACGGGTTTGTCGATCGATTTGAGGAGTTGTCGATCGATTCGAGGAGTTGTTGACCGATTCGAGTCGATCAGTTCTCGTTAATATATTTCAATCGAATCAATACCGTTTGTTTCATAATTTGTCGATGGAATCGGCGTCAATCGGTGCACGTCGATTGATTCATATTTTTGTTTTTCTATCGATTCATGTTTTTATTTTTCGATCGATTCGTGTCGATCAAATCCATACCCTCCTTCCTGGTATGATCATTTATTTCAAATTTTAATCTATAGATGGATCACAATGTGAAATCCTGAATTTTAGTCTGTAGATAAATCATCGAGGAATTTTCATACCAAGGAATCACGTTCCAAAGTTTTAAAACCAAGTCCAAAGTACTGTCTCGATTAACCATCGATATCGATACATTGAATTCGGCTACAAAATGGAAACAGTACTTTTAACTTCATTCCAAGATTTTGAAACATGATTTTCGGCACGAACATTCCTTAATGATCGATCTACTTGACTGAACTTTTGATTTACCCAAAATAATCAACCAAAATTGTTAAAATTTGAAATACATCGATTTTACTACATACATTGCGCAAAAGCTCAAGATCCACCGCAAGACACTAACATTGGGCGTGGAATAACTAACACTCATCTATCCATTATTTGATTCACTTTCTTCATGCACACTGGCCAGAATAGCTGCTGCAATGTTGCAACTGCGAGGAATCTTTCGCGTGCAAAAACATCCCTCATGTTGAACTCGCAATCAGAGTGAAAGGCTATCTTCGATCTCGCATTAAGTTGCCCGTGACCCTGCAATTACTGACAGGAAGATAGCTTTATCAATGCTCCTCATTTTCCATAGTTCGACACAATCAAATTGGCTTCTCTACTAAAAACTACGAATTTCAATCGATCGGATCGGTTTATATTCGGAACTCAATCTCTGAACCTCTAGCATATCTTCATGACCCGATTCCCTCTGCCGCTGATAACGCAGAGGTAACGTAGAGAATTAACGCACGATAACGAGGATTTGGCGCGGTGTTGCATTGTTATTCTCTTATTGCCGACTTAGTAAGTGTCCTCTTTTCAGGAGTTTCCCCCTAATTGTTTAGGTATTTATCATATTGCATCCATATCAGATTTTTAGATTCAGTAGCTCAGAAACGTCAAAATCGCAGGACCAACAATTGTTTTGATAATTTGAGCTGCCCCAACGTATCTCAACCACTCGTGCCCTTCATAGAAGTTGCTGCCCAATTTTTTTCAAAAATCACCTTTTTTCCTGCCACGCTAAGGAAAAACGCAGTATGGGCACTCAGATTATGCCAAAGTCCCAATAGTAAAATAGGAATTTAACGGGGGACCCGTGATTTTCTTGAAATGTTTAGGAAATGGTATTGGCAACTTAAAATGTTGAGGAGTTTTCGGAACTTTGGCAATGTATGAGTGGTCTCACGGCAGTTTTCCTTAGCACAGCATTCTACTTGTCTAAGATCCAATTTTTCATTATTTTCCTTGATTAATTACGTCTTGCACTGTACAGAGTCGGTTTTCATGACTTTTTAACTTCCATCGGGTGTTCAGCAATCTATCAATGAGCCTTTTATCTTAAATATAAGCAAAATTTACATTTTTTTACTGCCGCTAAACAGCGTAGCGGCAACACTGTTAAGAAACATCGATGAGTGAAATTCGGCGTCGGAGTCTATATGCAGCCCTGAAGCTCCGAGTGACATGAACGCGAAGTGACATTAGCATCGTAAAAGCGTATGAATTTCCGCAAAAAGAGTAGATTCCGCTCCGCATTCATATCACTCGGGGTTTTTGGGCGCTATATGAACCTCAGCACTGAATGGAGATGTTGCAATTGTTGCATGTGTGAGGGATTTGCGATTTGACTGTTGATTCTTACGTGAGAGTTCGCGAGAAACACGATGGTGCCTCTGGTTTTCTCTGAAATCAACGCCCAAGCTAAAAAAAAAGCTCTCAAGTTGAGGCCAAAGTGGAGGGGATATATCCCCCGCTATCCTGAGAGTCCACCTCTACATCAAGACAAACTCTCCATGCTGAAAAGGATAGGGAGCAAAAACATTGACAGGGTCGCCGTGTTTTCAGTTTCAGAGTCCCTAAATAAAGTGGCAGCCCTGTCAATGTATTTGCTCCCTATCCTTTTCAGTATGGAGAGTTTGTCTTGATGTAGAGGTGGACTCTCAAGATAGCGCGGGATATCCCCTCCATTTTGGCCTTAACTTGAGAGCTTTTTTTGAGCTTGGGAGTTGATTTCAGAGAAAACCAGTGGCACCATCGTGTTTCTCGCGAACTTTCACGTAAAAATCAACAGTCAAATCGCAAATTCCTCGCACATGCAACATCTCCATTGTACGTTATTTCTGCCAAACGGACTATGTGCATTATGACGTGAGCCCTGTTATGCATATATTCTTATGATTCTCAAGGCGCATGTCTTGATGCATATAGTTCCGTTTGACAGAAGTACGTCCGATTATACTTCAACATTTTGAACAACGTAGAGAAGACCCATATTTTAATTTTTTTTCTTTTTTTTCAATTTTTCTCGTAGAGGAGCAAACCTTGTCGGAGCAATCAATCGTTGCGCGTGTTCACTCCCCGTTGAGCCGAGTCATTTCTCATCTCGCAGAGTTGCTCATCCTCTGGTCATCCGGGCAGACCCTAGCCGTAGCAGGGTCCGCACCGAGTAAGAACCGCACAACTCCCGCACAATTTAAACGGCTCTTGTGCGGTTTTTGATTCCAATCCGCGAACGGCGACACGCGAGGGAACGCTCGATGATTGATGGCTCTCGGACGGGACGGAACGCTCCGAGGAGATCCTCCGTTTTCATTTTCCGGGGTCGCGCCAGGGCAGGGGGGGTGGCCGGGGAAGGGGAACAAAGTGAACAAAGCTGAGGTGGCGGTGTAAACGCGTCCTTTGTTCGCGGCTCGGTTACATCATTATTGCATTGTGCTCGGCCTCATCCACAGCCCCGCCGCCGCCGCCAAAAAAAGGCGCGAAGTAGGAGGAAGCGCCGGCCGCAAAGGAGAGCACTCGGAACTCGGCCTCGCGCACCTGCCAGATTGCGATGTGCAGAGACAGCTATAGACATAGCCATGGCATAGCTACAGACATAGCTGCATTATAGTTACAAACAAAGCTATAGACATAGCTGCATCATAGTTACAAACAAAGCTATAGATATAGATATAGCATCAGTGTTCGAAACTCACCTTTGAGTTTTAGGAGCCATGTGGCGCATCAAGCCCGATTTTTAGGCGCCACTGAAGATTTTTTAGGGGCCAAATTGACTTTTTGCCTATATATTATGGCGCGTTTAGTGAAAAGTTAGACACAAAATGTTTTCGTGACAGAACTAGAGTAGCTTGAGGAAGACAAAACTTGAGGAAGATAAAACTTGAGGAAGACAAAAGCACTTACAATGAAATCGTAAAGAATAGAAAAAGCACAAACAGTCGAAGAAGAAAAAGCACAAACAGTCGAAAAAGAAAAAGTAGAAATTTCGAATAATCACCTAATATGAAAATTCAGATTCTTAGGGAGCAATTTTAAATGGCCACGTTGGCGCAGAACCTTCATTTTTAGGCGCCATGGCCGATTTTTTAGGCGCATTTGGCGCGTTGGCGCCTGTGAGTTTCGAACACTGAAATAGCTATAGAAAGAGCTTTAGACATGACAGTTGACAAAACTTTAGAGGTAGCCATAGCCAGAGCTGTAATCATGGCAAAAGACAAAGCTATAGGCAATAGGCATATAGCTACAGACTCTCCAAGCCTTTAAGTGGCCGAGCAGCCTGCTTGTTAAAATTTTTTGTTTGTCTCGTGGACATAGATGACATAGGTTGAAAGGCGGAGCGTGATTGGTCGGCTATGTCTTATCGCTGCTTTATCGGGTGGAATGAACGACATACTGTCGGAAAGTCAAGAGGTGCCTTTGGCTTGTCGAGAGTTCCACCCGCCATAGGCACGACAAAACAGCGATAAGACGTAGCCGACCAATCACGCTCCGCCGTTTAACCCACATGTCCGCCCGATAAACACGAAATTTTAATGATCGGCCCGCTGGGAAGCCGCTCCGTGGTGATAAAAACCGAGGGCAAGGATTTGAAGATTGAGGACTTACCTTGAGATATTACCTTTCTTTTATAATACCTAATCACAGAAAAGTAATTTTCTTCTCAAAATTCAAAATGGATCAGTTGATTCTGGTTTGTGTCAGCGTTTTGATTTGGTAGAAATAACCAAGAAACTTAGAAGTAATTTGAGGAAAAGTACGGAAGTCTTAAGAGATTTGAAAACAGAAACTCATAACGGAGGAAGTTCCGGCTCAGGAGCCTGAAGCGATAAAAAACGACGTAAAATCTTGCTTATTGCAGGTTCAACATACG